AATGATTGTTGTTGTTCCTGCTGTAATTGCTGTTGTTGAATAGTCATTCCTAAAGACAAATGTTTGTGGATCTCCGGAAGCGGTTCCGCGTGCTCTCGCCTCGACGCCAGCTACCTTTCTCTGAAAACGAGGCTTCCGCTCGAGCGTTGGCTTGACCCTACATCTGGGCCCTCGGAGGCCCAGCTACGACAACAACGGCTCCCGCTCGATAATTCCACACAACTTTCCCCGAAGCACCCTGGCCAGAGAGGCCCCCGAACTCAGGAACGGCGCTCTCGCTCGAGACTTCCTCGCAATTCAATTAAGTTGGCGGCGGCCCAGCCACGAGGGCTCCTGCTCGATACTTCTTCACGATTTACTCCGAGATCCCCTGGCCAAAAAGGCCCCCGAACTCAGGAACGGCGCTTTCGCTCGAGACCTTCCCGTAATTCAGGCAAGTTGGTGGAGGCCCGGACACGGCGACAAGGGTTCCCTTTCGATTTTTGTCCATCGGTATTCCGAGAGCCCCTGGCCAGAGAGGCCCCCGACTTCAGGAACGGCGGTCTCGCACGAGATTTCTTCGCACTTCAGTCAGTGGCCGGCAAGGAAGAGATTACCGCCGAAAGGTGGCGCAATCGAAGACGGAGTGGGCGGGTATAGAGGGTTGCGATATACGGAATGCAAGACACGCGTGCCAGTAAGAGCGAACAGTTTTATAATTATTGTTGTCGTTGTCGTAGTTGTAGTTGTAGTGGTGGTGGTTTGTATTGTTGGAAGGAGGTGGTTGTGGAGCAGGAGGAGGAACACAAGCGAAACAGAAAGATGAGAACGAGTCAGCGCGGCGATTCGACGCGCCCCCCAAGGGCCTGTATAGGTGCGTGCAAGACCCTGCCCTTCGCCACCAACCCCGTGAAGGAGGGAAAACGGCGGGGGGATTTGGGGTAGTGGGGGGTGGGAGCGAGACTCACGGGAGGAGTGTGGGAGCGAGGTTGACGGGCGGAGTGTGCAAGAGAGGTGACCCAGGAGGAAGAGGAGGGCCAGAGGAAATCGAGGATGCGTCAGCGATGTTGCAATGCAGCAGCCCGTCCCAAGATCTGTCCCCAGTAGTCCCCACGAGGATGTGTTCTGCCATTGCAGGAGGCGCCCCTCCCTTGAAGGACGAGCGCCAAGAGGGTCTGCCGCTCTGGCGAGATCCCGTTCCGTACAGGATCCGCCCGATCCCCCTTCCATCCTCTGGCTCAAGCTAGACGCGCATCAGCAAAAGAACGAAGATCAAGAACGCGTTTCACGACAGCCCCGTTGTGAACAGGAGCAGTTTTCCATGCGTGTGGTTCCGCAAGTTCAATGTTCTGTGGTTACGGTGCGCGCGCATGTCTCAAGCGAAAGCCTCATTCTGAAAAGGAGTCGCCTTCCAGCCCTGTAAGCTTTCGGCCCATCGATTCTGTCGACGCCTCACGCGAGAGCCGCCTTCTGAAAACGAGCCCTCCTCAACCTTTGTAGCTGTTTGGAGATGATCGCCCGAATGCTTATAGAAACATCCTGGAGGCCTCGCGCGGCGCGGAATAGCTTTGATGTTTGGTCCACACGCCAGCCCTTGTCAGATATGGGACGACGTCCGCGCGGCGCTGTCCCGACATAGGTCCAACGTGAGTCCGACGTGGATCCGACGTACATTGGGTCTCAAGTTGCCGCGCGAGGCCGTTAGGATTGTCATCATACGAATGTGGTCGGCGCTGAGGCGAGGGCCGCATGTTGAAATCCACATGCCCTCTATCTTACAAGTTGTTGACCCGCATATTGAAAACCAACGGCTCTCCATCCCTGTCTGTTTTAAACGGTTTCTGGAAAGAGTGCGCGGCGCCAGGGCGAGAGCCGCATATTGAACATCCCATGCCCTCCATCCGTGTAATTGTTCGAAGCTTTCAACCGAGCTCGCGCGTCGCTACGGCGAGAACCGCATTACGTCGTTAAGCCACGGCCATCTTATTATTGTGGCGTATATGTAAGCATACACATACGTCAGACGGATGTGGGTTTCTCGGGGGGTATCCTTGGGATGTTCAGTAGCAGCTTGGCTGCCTTGAGACAGTCTTGCTGCAGATTGGCAGCATGATGGATTCCATCTTGACCAATCTTGAATTGGAGCGTCCCATCTTGAGCTTTCAGAGACCATCTCGGAGCCGTCATGGGCGCTCTATCCCCTCGCCCTCCCTCCCGTCCAGACCCAAGGTCGGGGGTAGGGAGAGGGGTCAAGACACCCACTCGCCACACAACCAAACGCGAACTGTTTGGCTCACTCCCATCCTCCCTCCCAACACATAAGTACCACCCGAGTCTCAGCATATCGCCTAGGAGCGCCACACGTTCCAGGTGCAACAGGCACCCCAGAGGCCCAAGTGTGTCAGGCGCGCCAGGTGCGCCACGTGCTCCAGGTGCACCATGTGTGCCACGTGCTCCAGCCGCGCCAGATGCGCCACGTGCGCGGGGCGCGTAGAGTGTGTCAGGCGCGCCATTGAATTGCCGCAGCAAGCGCTATGCCGGCACTCCCACCGTCCCTGTCAAAAATCGTACAAGGTGGTCGCGGGGCGCCTTCGCAGGTTCCAGATTCGGTTGCAACGCGTATTTATTTCTACTGGGATGGTTGGCTTGCTCGGAGCAAGCAATATTCGGCACACCCGCCGTCCCTGTCGAAACCCAATGTTCAGTGGTCGCGGAGCGCCCGCGCATGCTCCACACTTAGATGCTATTGGTATGTTGTAATGTGTTGTTTGACGTGGATGATGGAGGGAGGGGGCTCACGGGTACGGGTTGGCTGCCGGTCAGGTGGTGGAGGGGGGGTTTATTCATAGGGAGCAGCGATCAAGTTGCCAACAGGAAGGCCACAAGCCATCTCGCTCACTCTCACCCGCCCTCCCACCACGTCAGTAGCATTCTAGATTCAGCACAGGTCGTGGTCGCTATCGGATGGGCAGCCATCTGGAACCAGTACAGACGCCAGGTGCGCGACGCGCACCAGGTGGGCCAGGTGAACCAGGCACCCATGCGCGCCTGGTGCGCCAGATGCGCCGAGAGTGCCGCATGCTCCAGCCGCACCAGGTGCCCACGTGAGCGACGCGCGCGGAGTGCGCCAGGAGCGTCAGTGCCACGGGACAGCACACATCGGGCACTATCTCGTTGCAAATTTGCGAACTGGCGACGGGCCTGTCAGGTAAAAGTGGGCAGGCGCATGACGGGGAAGAAATATTTACAAACCGGGTGATGAGTTCCACCAGTTGGTACACATTGATCGTGGTGTGCGCGCTCATGATCAAGATGCCGCCGCCATGTGCATCCTGTATTGTTTTGAGCAGGAGATGCGTGGTGGCTAATTGATCTTGGTCGGCAGTCGAGTGAAGAAAGAGGTGTTTGTAGATTAGGAGCCGTGATAAGTTTCTCCCGAGAGGAAAGGAAATCAAAAGGGGGCGGATAATGACATATCGAACCATAGCGTATAGCGCAAATCTATGTTTGCAGGGCAGGTCCCCATCTCTCTCTCTCTCTCTCTCTCTCTTTGTCTGATGTTGTTGATGATCTCTCCTTCTCTCTCTCTCCCTCTCTTTTGTATTTCCCTCTCTGTGTATAGTCTTGTTCATAGCCATGTATATATATATATATATACACCATACTCTCTCTTCCTGTCTCCTCCCGTCTCTTGTCTGTCTGTCTTATTGTCCGCCTCGCAAGTCTTCGCCTCTCCCCCTGCTTATTCCTCTATATACATGGACATGTATATATTCACAAACAAGTGCCCCTCTATCTGTTCTCCCCTCTCGGTCTGTTGGTATGTCTGCCTGTCCGGCCGTATGTATTTGGACGATTATTGTGCTATTTTGGAATCCGCCTGGACCGAGGCCCCCAGGGCCGACTGGACCTGGAGGCAGCCCAGACATGTGAAGACGTCAAGACGGTTCAGCAATACAATGGACATCCATGTTTTTTTTTCGCCGGGCCTTGCTGAGGGGTTCTCTTTGTAGCCCTCCTGGACCGTCTGAAGGGCCTTCGGGGCCATATTGTGGCAATATTTGGGCTATCTCAGGGGCCAATCGGGGCCACTTTGAAGGTAGCTTGGGGCCATGTTGGGGAGCCTTGCTTGCCCGCCTGGGCCGTCATTGGATGTTCGGGAGCGCGGGCCTAGACTTTGTTGTATATGAGCGGCCGTGGCCTCGGAAGCGCGGGCCCGGTCGTGGCCTCGGGAGCTCGGATGTGTTGCTGCGTTTGATAAAAATCGGTATCGGTTAACCGATCCTCATCCTTCTCACCATCCCCTTCGAGACCCCATCAAATTACTACCCCAATTGGGGATACGCCCCTCGAAATTCGAAGGGAACGGCCTATCTCCCCATCTAGGGGGGTAAATCGGCCAGTGGGGCCCAGGCCACGCCGCTGGGGATGGGGATCGGTTCAACGATACTCAAGAAAGTGGGGCAAAGCACGCAAGTGAGGGTGACCAGGAGGGCAGGGGCAGCCCTGCTGAGGATGGCAGAAATGCCCTCCCAGCCATCCCTTTGGCAGTCCGTCACGCATCAGCGTGCCCGGGGGGGCACGGTGGCGGGGCTGTGTCTATCTCTCTCTTTCGTTACGTCTCTTTCTTGTTGTTTCTCGCAGTCGCCAAGAGCAACAACAGATTATCTCACTCTCTCTCTCTCTCTCCCATTCCGTGGCCCTGGCACCGCCCCCCGTTTGGCGCGGATGGCCTCCGGGGCCAGGCGCGCAAGGCAATGTCCGACTCTTGTCCCGCTCTCTCTCTCTCTCTCTCTCTCTCTCTCTTTCCGTCCCTCGCTCTCTCTCTCTCTCTCTCTCTCTCCCTCTCCCCGTCCCCCGTGTGTATATATGTATGTAGGTTTTGATGCCTGCCTTCCATGTCTTTTTGCCCTATCCCCCCTCTTCCTCCGCCCGCATTCTCCCCCCCCTATCCCTTACTATTGTTTGTGTTGTGCTCTCTCTGTCTCTCTCTCTCTCTCTCTCTCCTGCCCGCTCCCGAGATGGCCAGCCCCTGCAGGTCGGCGAGGCCGCGGGGGGGGAGCGGGGCCCAGGAGGGGGAGGTGGAGGGAGGGAGGGGGGGGGGGTAGGGCGGTGCAGGAACGCGTGCGGGTGGGGGGGGTGCGGGCGGAGGACGTCGGGCGGAGAGCAAGGAGGGGGAGTTGGAGGATCGAGGCTCGAGGGCTCGAGGATCGACGTCTGCGGAGGCGTTTTTTCCTTGTTCGGGCCTCGCGCCGCCACGACCGGGGTCCGCGGCGGCATGCTGGCCAGAACGCAGTGATTGGTCTGCGGGAGGGGGGGGGGGGGGGGATTTTGCGACGATCGGAGCCCAGACCTCCAGGGAGAAGGGAGAGGGAGTGGGAAGGAGGCAGGAGGCAGGCGGAGGATCGAGGAGGAGGAAGGAAGGGGGAAAAGACCCCTTCGGGAGCGCGGGCCAGTCGGCGGAGGGCGTCGGAGGAGATAGCAGGACGAGTGGGAGGGAAGAGTGAGGGAGAGTGACGGGGAGAGATGCGGGAAACAGCGCCTGGAGTGGCCAATTTGGGAGTCATGTGAAGGCGGGCTCATCCCTCCGCTTCCTCCTGAGGCACTGAGGCGCTGCCGGTTGCAAGGTCGTTCAGACGTCTCCATCTTCCTCCTCGTCCTCCTCCTCCTCCTCATCCTTTGCTCTGCTTAGGCGGTATCTCCTGAAACCGCTGAGGGGAATGGGCCGTTTCGCTTGCGACATCCTCAAACTCTCGTTTCAGAGTTGTCTGGGATTGGCTGTTTCGCTAGAGACATCCTCGAACATCTTGGCTCCAACACGCCGCCTGAGAGGTGTTCCGGGCCTTTCCGCCTGAGACATCCTCAAAAGTCTAAGCCCCGAGGTGCTGTACGAGAGGTGTTCCGGACCGTTTCGCTTGAGACAGCTTCGGACATTTGGGCTCTGGGACGCCGCGCGCGAGGTGGTCGGGGCCGTCCCGCCTGAGACATCCTCGAAACTCTGACTGAGCCCCGAAATGCCGTGCGAGAGGTGGTCCAGGCCGTTTTGCTTGAGAAATCTTCGAACATCTTGGCTTCGGGACGCCGCGCGCGAGGTGGTCCGGGCCATTTAGTTTGAGACATCCTCAAAATTGTAAGCCCCGAGGTGCCGCGCACGCGGTGGTCCAGCTTGTTTCGCCTGAGACATCTTCGAAAACCTGGCTTGCGAAATGCCGCGCGCGAGGTGGTCTGGTTTGTTTCGCCTGAGACGACGGCGACGACGACGACGACGACGACGACGACGACGACGGCGGCGGCGGCGGCGACGGCGGCGAGGGCAGGGGGCGGGGGCGGGGGCGGGGGCAGCGGCGACATCGCACTCTCTAGCGCCAGTGTGACGTTTCAACACGTGCCCGCGGAGATCCCGACCGCGTCCCCGAGTCTGGGATGCGTTTCGAGAATCCATGTGCCGCTTGAAGAATCTCGATCCGCGGCGGCAGCGACGGCCGGCGGACTCGGGCCGCGACACGGGGGGGGCTCGGCAGGCCGTCACGGCCAGCATCGTGCCGGACACCGCGAACCAGGGCGCGCGCCTGACCGTTCTTGCAGGGGGGGAGCGTTTTTGTCGCCCTTTGGCCTCGTGCCCCTGCCTTGCCCTTCTCATACATTCTAGAGTTGCAGTTTTTTTTACTCGAGCACATAACGCGCTTTACGTGGCCTCCAACCGATCCATCCACACCCAGTGGATAACATAACGCCTGCCGCCCCGCGCACCCCCGTTGCAGCTGCGTTTGTTGCTTAGCGCACAGGTAACCGCTAAAGGTCTTCAGTGTTGGTCCCCCTTCTCTCGGCAGGGGATAGGACTGGTCCTAGAACCTCCTCCTCCTCTTTCTCCTCCTCCCCCCTCCTCCCTCCTCCCTCCTCCTCCCTCCTCCCTCCTCCTCCTCCTCCTCCTCCTCCTCCTCCTCCTCCTCCTCCTCCTCCTCCTCCTCCTCCCTTTCCTCCTTCTCAGTGAGGTCGGATTTTCCGTGAAAGCGCTCGTGGGGCATTCGTAGTGTAGTAGTCGTCGTCGTAGTTGTTGTCGTAATCGTAGTCGCAGCTGTTAACGTCGTTGTGGCACCCACACAGGCACGGCGGCGCACTCAGCATTGCAAGAAACAAGCAATTCGGTGCGCATAGCGCACACGCCGGCAGCGGCGACATTTGTGATGCACACAGGCGTTGTGGTGTCTAGCATTGTGGAATTCACAGGTACTGATGTGCGCGCAGGCAACGGGGGTAGAGGGGCCGTGCCCGCGGCCAGGAACATGTAAGAACAAACAACTTGCATATTGAATGTGCCACGTTCGGGCCACCCATGGTTTACTGGAGTTGACACCCTCGGGCACCTGGGGGTGTACACGGGCTGTGTGGTGTACGCGGGCACTGTGATGTACATGCTGGCGGCGTACAACGGTACAGGGGTGCATTCGTTCCGACGTTAGTAGCGTGGGTCCAGTAAAGCATCTTGAGTGCCCCTCTCAGATTTCCCCCCCACCCCCCGTGCAACACCCGTTTCCACCAACGACAAATTAATGTGACGAAGGATCCAACCATATGCTGCTGCGAGTACCGCGAGGGAGAGGAGACGAAGGAGGGGGGCAGCAAAAAGGACTGCGGCGTGCATGAGGGGCATAAAAGCTGACGCGGGCGAGCGGGGAGAATTCTTGGTTTCGCCCGAGCCCCGTGGGCGGCCTGTGCCATGCGGACGCTCCCGCTGGGGCCTTCGGTGGAGCTCCCTCTGGGGCCAGGAACCGTGTGAGGGGTGCGCCGAAATGGGGCAGCGGTGCCATGCGGACGCCCCCACTGGGGCCTTCGGTGGAGCTCCCTATGGGCCACGAAATGTGTGAAGGGTGTGCCGAAATGGGGCGGCGGTGCCATGCGGACGCTCCCGCCGAGGCCTTCGGCGGAGCTCCCTATGGGGCCACAAACCGTATGAGGAGCGTCCACAAATGAGGCGGCGGTGCCATGCGGACGCTCCCGCTAGAGCCTTCGGTGGAGCTCCCCATGCGGCCACGAACCGTGTGAGGGGTGTGCCGAAATGGGGCAGCGGTGCCATGCGGACGCTCCCGCTGAGGCCTTCGGTGGAGCTCCCTATGAGGCCACGACCGACCCGTGAAAGGTGTGCCAAAATTGGCATTCGGTGGAGATCCTTGCGGTGCCTTTTGGCATTTGGTGGAGATCCTTGCGGTGCCACGAACCGCTTGAGGGGCGCGGCGCTGACGATGGCGATGGTGATGATCATGATGATGTGGATCATAACGATGGCGATGATGATGACGATGATGACGATGACGATGACGATGACGAGGCGGATGGAAGGAGGGAGGAGGGGGAGGAGGGAGGGTACGGCAGGAAGAGGTGAGACGCAGGGCGTTGTCTCAAAACGAGGACCCAACACCACAGGATGGTTGTGTATGAATGCCTTGCTGGTTTTTGACGCCGTCGAAGTTGGGCACTGGGGTGGCCCAGGTGCACAAACAGGTGGCCGCGTGTCTTCCCAACGTTCGGTCGTCGTACTTAGTGCGGCTAGGCGCGCCGGCCACCCGCATGTGTATCCAGCGAGCCGAGTTGTCCCTTCCGAGGAATATTCGTTCCATGTTGTCCGATTTGGTAGAAGGGTGCATGGTCAGGCGTATCCCGCACCTGCCACTGCTAGTTCTCCGCCATGGCTGTTCCCCTTGGGGTCTCTGGACTTCCGTAGAGGTCTCGTCAGGCTTCCAGAGCTTTTCCCCCCAAAAAATGCAGAATCTTGTGAAAGGTATAGACATCCTTGCTTCTCGAGCCTCCGTCCGACCTAGAGGTCATACTTTCCCATTGCCTTGCCCCTCGTCTCCACCGCCCCCTCGCGCAGGCAAGTGGGCCGCAGATGATGTTGAGCGGACCACGCTGACTGCTTCGTCGTACGCCACCATAGCATCTATGCAGGCATTGGCGAGGGGAGGGGGAGGCAGGAGAGCGACGGGGCGGGGTCCGAGGAACGAGGTTTTTGGGAGCTTCCCGCCACCTGGGGGTCTCTCGGAAGCCTCGTCGTTGCTACACCCCTGGGGCAGCACTTGCTCCTCCTCCTCCTCCTCCTCCTCCTCCTCCTCCTCCTCCTCCTCCTCCTCCTCCTCCTCCTCCTCCTCCTCCTCCTCCTCCTCCTCCCTCCTCCCTCCTCCTCCTCCTCCTCCCTCCTCCTCCTCTTCCTCCTCCTCCTCCTCCTCCTCCTCCTCCTCCTCCTCCTCCTCCCTCTCCTGGGATCCGTCTTGGCTTGTACCCGAGCAGCGGAGGCATTCTCCGAGCACCCTTTGGGGTGGGCCAGGGCCCGACTTCGCTGTTGCCAAGGGGGTCGCGTCGCGCGTGCCCCGCTCAAAGGGTTTGGCTCGAAAGCCAGCGCACCTTTGACGTCGCGGCGCGGCAAAGGCAGTCCAATCCCCACGCGCGTCCAGGCGAGACCAGGGCGGCTGGCGCGGGGGCACTCACACAGCGAAGCCGCGTGGAGCGCGCGGGAGCGGCTGGGCTGAAATGCAGCCCTTGGCAACATATTTTCTCTAAGTTCCACGCGGGGTTCTCGGATCGGCGTTGTGCCCTTTTGGCGCCGTTCCTCGCGCTCCGCGCGCCAGGGATGGGGGAGTCCAGCGCAAATCCAAGAAATCCGCGCGGGCATGAGAGAAATTCTAGACGCTCCGCGTATCCCCACCAGGGTTTGGCCGCTTGCCGGCCTGCGGCGGACAGGGTCGACGGCCAAAGGCACCGCCCTGCCGTCTGAGCTAGATGTTGGCTCTGGCCACAGTTTGTGCCTCCTGGGAGCAGGGGCGCCACACCGCCATGGTACCTGCGGACCCCGCGGGCGCCCTTCCCTGTGGTCGGCTGAAATAACCCCACCCAGGCAGTGACTGGGAGTGCGGGCCGTGAGGCAGAGGCACTGGCTGAAGGCCTTCCTCTTGCGTCATCTGCCGTTTGAGAAGTCTGCTCAGTGGCCCGGCCCCCCTCGGTGGCTTGTGTGTGGCCCGCGTACACGCGGGCGCTCACGCACTGGGTGTCAAGTGAGTGGATCCGGCACGCTTCCCCCAAGGTTGTGCTGCCCTTCTCTCCTCGCGCCTCCCTGGCAGTCGGTACTCCACCTGCGGGTCCGACATGTTTCCGCCTGCGCTCGTTTGCCCCTTTCGGCTGGCACACGCTCAGCGGTTTTTGGGGCCCGCGTGATGGCAGCACGGCTTCGGCTGTCCCCATCGCGGTTGCCCTCTTCTGCTGACACACGCTCAGCGGCTGGGCTCGCGTTTCTAATTATCTGCAGGTGCACTCTGCGCGGCGTCGCGCCAATTATCTGTCGCTGTGCCCCAGCCCCGGTCACACCGCCCTCTGGACTTCTCATTGCGGGCCGCGAATCAAAAAAGTATCCCCACCAGTCCGTAGCCCCCCTCTGGCTCAAGCCTGGCTCGAGCCGCTCTGGCTCGAGGTGCCTAGCCGGCTAGCGCGGCCGCGGCCGGGGGCCCGTCCCTGGCCTCCGGCCTCCCCGCCCGCGGGGGTGGGGACGGAGGTCGCCCCTCCCTCCTCCCCCCCGCCCGCCGGGCCATGCCCCCCGCGGCGTCGCCTGCGGCCCGCCGCCGCCGCCAGCGGCGCGCGGCCGCCAGTCGCCACGCGGCGCCGCCCCCGGGGCTGGCGCCGCGGGCTGCCGCGGACCCTGGCTGCCTCGGCGCGGCCGGCGGCGCCGCCGCCGCGGCCGCCGCGGCCGCGGCGGCGGCCGGCCGAGGCGACGCCGCCGCGGCCGCCGGCGCCGTGGCTCGCGCTGCCGCCTTCGGGCCCGCCGCGGCGACCGCGGCCGCCGCGGGGGGCGGCGGCCGCGGCTGTGGCCGCCGCGGCCGCTGGTGCCGCCGCGCCTTTCGAGGCGCCCTCTGCGGCCGCCGCCTCCGCCGCCGCCGCGGCCTCCTCCGGCGGGCTGCCGGCGGCGGCCGCCGCCGCTGTCCCCCCCGACGACGACGCCGCGGCCTGCATGGTTCATGTCCCCCCCGACGACGACGCCGAAGACGACGCCGCGCCCCCCCCGACGACGACGCCGCCGACGACGACGCCGCGCCCCAGGCGCTGCGAGACAGCGATCTTGCATGGGCGCGTGGGCTTGCTCGCCACGACGGGCCACATCACGCCCGAGGTCGTTGGCAAGTTTCCTGGCGAGATCTCCCCGTCTCTCGGGGTGAAGTTCGGGGCTGAAGGCCGAGATCGCGAACGGCCGCCCGGCCACGATGGCGATCAGCGGGATGTCATTCCAGGGCGGCCTCACGGGCACCGCCTGGGGCGACTGGGCGCCGTAACTACACGGACTCCCCGCTGCGCGCCTTCGAGAGCGAGCTGTGCGTGCAGGCGCTGGCGGGCTCCTGTACGCTCGAGGGCCCTCTGCGACTACGAGAACGGCGGCGCCCTGGGCGTGCCCGACGGCAGTGCCTCGCTTGCCGGCGAGACCAAGCCCCCCAAGCTGAACGCCGAGACCGCGAACGGAAGGCTGGCGATGATGGCGATCATCGGGATGTTCTACCAGGATGGCCTCTCGAGCAGCGCGTGGGGCGACTGGGCGCCGTACACGGACCCCCCGCTGCGCTCCTGCGGGAGCGAGCTGGGCGCGCAGGCGCCAGCGTGCCTCTGGGGCCCCGCCGACCTCACGAAGGATGACGCCGCGGCCTTCAAGAGACGCCGCGAGACAAAGAGCAAGGATGGGCGGGTGAGCACGCTCGCCACGAGGGGCTACAACACGCCCGAGGCTGCCGGCAAGTTCCCTGGCGATATCTCCCCGTCTCTCGAGGGGGAGTTCGAGGACACCCCGAGCGGTCTGGCTGCCCTCCCCACGGTGCCAGGACCAGGCTGGCTGCAGATCGCGGCGCATTGCCTCTACTGCGAGTCGGGCCCGTTCGGGCACAACCCGGACCCCAACAGGAAGCCCGGCGAGCTCGGACGGAGGCCCATCGGTCCACACAGCACCGACGCCACGGTCAGGCAGCGCAGGTTGAGTGCCGAGAGCGCCAACCTTCGTCTGGCCATTACCGAGGTCCACGTTCACAACCACGTCGACGACGACCACGACCACGACGGGACCGCGGCGACGACCACGACCACGTCCACGACGACGACGACCACGACCTCCACGGACGCCGTCGCTTCGACGACAACGACCACGACCACGACCACGACGTCGACCACGACGGCGACCACCAGACGACAGACGACCATCCCGGGGATACTGCCACGCACAACGACACATCGGAGCATAGCAGCAGCAGCGGCAGCGCGCCGCCCCCCGCAGCGTCGACAGACGAAGACGTCCCAGAGGGGAATCGAGAGGCGGTAGAGGCAGAGGTCACGATACCACCCCCCGCACCGTGGTCGGACGACGACGCCCCAGCGGGGAATCGAGAGGAGGTAGCCTGCAGTGACCAGGGCACTGCTCATACGAACGACCCCCCCCCCCCCTCCAGCTGCACCAGCAGGCCATAGGAAAGGAGGGGGAAGTCACGGCGGAGGCTGCGGAAGCCGCGGAGCACCCCCCTCAGGACAATCAGTCCGAGGGCTTGCCCGACGAATGGCGAGCCGAGCCCGTCGAGGGAGGCAACGCAGCCCCCCCGCCAAGTACACGGGAGAACAGATCCCCCCAGCGGCGCAGACACGCAGGGCCAATCCTCCCTCATCCTCTTTTAATTCACCAGATTGCGCGGCTATCGGCTGCGTCTTCTCCTCCTCCTTCTGCCCAGGACGTTCGCCCAACTGCGCGTGGACGCGCCCCCCGACATCGACAGAAGGGCAGTGGTCATTAGTCCTCTGTACCAGCAGGACAGAGGAAAGGATTTGGATGTCACGGCGGAGACGGCGGATGCCGCGGAAGCCGCGGAATACCCCCCTCAGGGCAAGCAGGGCGCCAGTAGTCCTCTGGGGCCGCCACGCACCCAGCAGGGATGCCACGGAACAACAATCCAGACGCAGGACAGCGAAGCCATCCGCTGGCTAGTCGGGAGAAACCGTTTTGCCCCTATTCGCCCCCCTTCCCCAGTTGGCGAGCTCCTGAAGGACGGCGAACCCGAGGCGCTCTCGCCAGGCGCCCAGAGCACCGCTGGCGACGCAGCCCGCGCCCCGGCTGTGGAAGTCGCGCCGCAGCGCGTGCACGCCCTCGGCACAACCAGTGGCACCCCAGAGAACGGAGAGGATCAGGCGCTGTCCAGAGGGGGCGCACCTGGGAGCGACAGCGGGCGCAGGCCCGAAGGCGAGCGCCAGCGAAAGGGACCCCTCCCCGCGAGCCACAAGGCCGAGTCTGCCTCGGCCGCCGGACGCGTTCCGACCCCAGCCTGGCGGCCAACCATGCGGCCTGCGCTTCTCCACCAAATGCTGCCGGGCGGGCAGCCGGAGCTGTCGCGAGCAGATTGCGATCCCCCCAGCAAGGACAACGATCGAGGCCGTTACGCTGGAGGCGGCACCAGGGGCCCGACCCGCGCCAATGGCCAGAGCCCAAGGACCCCGACACGGGACAACAGTTGTACAAAACAGGAATCAACAACGCCCAGTGGGACCTCCCCGGGGAGGCACCGGCGAGGCGATGCGACGACTCCAAGCCACACTGGGACCAATGTTCACTGGCTTTCGTCAAGCGGCAGTCGGCGCCTGGCGGCAAGGGCGCGCTCGACCCGAATCGGCGCGACCCGCAAACTTGCCGCCTCTTTCTGGAATCCTCCCGCAGCCACAAGGGCGACGCACGGGTCCTCAGCGATGCGCTGGGCCTCGACGTCGACTGGGCCCGGGCCTGGCAGCGGCGCCTGGGCCCGAGCGGCGGCGCGAGCAGTGGTCGCCATGCGGTAGAGGGCCACCCGAGCAAACAGGCACCCAGGAAGCACTGCAGACAGTGGTGGGCCGTCTCCCCACAGTAGCCCTGCTACCCCCTCGCGGCATTCCTGCGAGGTGCTACCGTG